GATCTGCCATAGGGAGCATAAGCAGAAAAAAATAACAACATAACATTTGAGAGTCAATCATGACACCCATACAGGGAAACTATGAGGGGCAAGCTGTCTAACATGCTGCACTATTAGAGAGGAAGGATGGTGGGAACTAGTGAGCTAGTGTGTTATGTTTTATTCCAGTGCCTTGGTAATAACATTCTATGAATTTCAGTTTTTGGTTTCATTCAGTAACTTTTGTTTTAAATACTTGAGGCTTTTTATATATAGATCTGTCTATATAGATCTATATATGCAGTATATCTATTTATTTCTTGTCTGTGATATTTGTATTTATAATTACTTGATCTATTCCATATCTATTTGTATATATCTATACATATCTCATTTTATTTTTTTCTTTCTCCTTTTCTTTTTGATATGTGATACTGATGTGTTAAATGTGTTGGATTAGAGGATGTAATTTCATACTAAAAATTAGATTTTAAGATTATATATTCTAGTTACAGCTGAGGAACAAATAGTCCATTATGTTTCAATAGCTGTCATTATCCTTTCATATTATCTCCCTTGAGCACTGACAGTCCATTTAATGCTTCTGGCCCTGCAGGGACAGATGTGTGCGCAGGGAAGTTGATATGTGAGGAGGGACGGTGCATTCCCCCAAGTCTGTGCTGTAGGGAGAAGGACTTGCATCCCCCAAACTGCACTATAAGGCCTGGAATCGAATGTTGCAAGCAGCTTTTGCATCCTGGTGAGTATTAAGTAATAACATTGTCAGTCATCATGAATATCTGTAGTAGATAAGAACACAACCAAAAAATAGGACTAAATTCCTTAATATTTTTGCTTAGATGCCAAATTGCTGGACAAAAATTTTACAAAGGATTGGTAAATTATTGAGTCATCCATTCATAGAACCTATAATTTATTTAAGTCAAAATGTTCTGGACTTAACCATGTTTCTAATTTTTGTTTGCTTGTCTGCTCTTCTTTTTTCTGATTTATATATTTAAAATAATAAAATCACATTGCATTACAAATTGCCAGCATTTATCATATGATATGATATGAAGATAATTTTCTCTTTGTATGGTATTTATGTTGCAAGTCCAGTTGTGTAATGTGATATTAAAAGAAAATCTGATCATGTCTTATGATAAATCCTTTCTCATGTATACAGCTATTCGTGACCAGGATCTCTACTACCTAAAAGCACCACCAAGATTGCATCAGCAAAGGAACCCACAGCCAGATTCTACTCTCATAATGGGTTTGTATATTTTTGACTTGGTCATTACCACCTTTATTAGATAATAGTTTTGTGATTGTAGAAGCATCTTATTGATATTTATAAACAAAGTCTAGCCTAAATGTTCAAGGCTAGAAGGGAAAAGATAAATATTCACCATGCTGTAAAAATGTATTATGGAAAACAGCCATCTTATTTTAGTTTTTGCTCAAAAAGACAAAAACCCATGTTGCAGGTTGCATTGTGGCAGTAGCAAACCTGATAACAGTTGGTATCATAGTTGGAGTAAGGTACCACCTGTGGCGTTCCAATGGTTCTACCTCCCGTGCTCATTACCACCTGAATAGATTACGGTCAGCCACTCTCCGTCCATTTGGCTTTGGTTCATCTCTCAGTCCACCATCAACCACTGATCAGTACCAGTTACGGTCAGCAGATACTCTGTATTCAAGACGAATCCCAGGTTTGCGTTCAGATCTTCTGTCGCCAGAGATCCTCCGCGAACAGAGGCAACAATGCACACATCAGCAGAGACCCTTTACTGGAGGAGTTGTATTGTGCCCTCCTACCAATGCTCAGCCTCCCCAGTACTCACAGTTGCCAACAGCTCATACAGGGCCCCCGCCTGCTTATCATCAGGTCTGTAAAATTGTTTTTCTAGAAGAGTAGAATATAACAGATTTTATTTTATATTTATTTGAAGTTTATGTTTTCATTATTGTAATCATTCTTGGCAAGTGTCTTATGGTTCATGTGAATATTACAATTTTCAAGATTATTAAACTAATTTTTACAGATTGTTGCACAAAAAAATTACTTTTTTCCACAGGTTGTGGGAGCTCCACCACCACCTTACTCATCCCGTGATGATCTTACACTAGGAAACTCCTCAGATGGCTCCTCCCTGTCTCTTCTGTCACCACTTCTGAACAACAATAACAATGGGGATATTAATGGTAACACCACAGCCCACCTTTCTGTTATACAGAACCAAAATGTGGCCCATGCTGCAGCTTCTTCTGCAGCACCTTCTCAGTTCTCAGGTTCCCAGTCCCGAGGCAACAAATGATAAGCTTTAACACTTATGGGGTGGAGAGAAACATGCTTGAAAGCTTTTATGAATCTTAATCTTTTGAATCTTAAAGAATTTTAAAAATTTTAGCTAAGTTTTTTATTCTTGATAAATTTTTAGCATATGAATTCAGTTTTTGAATCTTAGAGAATTTAAAAAATTTTAGCTAAGTTTTTGAATCGATAAATTTT